CCCTCCTCGTCCAAATGCTTTTCGTAACCAGTTTCCACGAGACTCTGCCAAGTCGTTGCATCAAACTCGGCAACATCAAACAGACCTCCTTGATCGGCATTTGGAACTGTCGTGAAAAGGTCATCAATCACAACATGATACTGCGGACTGACATAGCCTGTCTGGAGATTCAAGACACGGCTCACAAGTGAAGAATGAGTTGGGGAAACGCCGACATACATGCCACGCCGCGCCCGAACATCCCATTTTGGAATCTTCTTCCCGTCCTGCAATCTCGGATCCAACACATACACCGGTGATCCCCAGACATGGAGACGTTTGAACCATTGGTGATGGTCGATCTTAGCCCCTCCCATGAGCTCGATTGGCGCTTGCTTGGTATCTTCGCGTGGTAGATGGTTCCACAAATAGACTGCATGATCCATAGCAAAAGGCCACAACTTGTGATCGGCTTCGTCTGGCCAATGCAACATTTGATGAAGAAGCATGGCACGAGCCCAGGTGGTGATAGTTTGGATTGCTCTTTCGGCAACTCCATTCTGATGTTTAGCTCCGACTGCAGAGTAATCAATAGTCTGCTTGTGCGACTCGATATCATCCAAGAATCCTTTCGAGCTGAAAGGGTGGTTGTCAGCACGGTAAGACTTGACCTTGTGTCCGTATTCACCAACTTCACTCTCAAACGAATGTTTGCTCTTGACTGTCTCTCTCGTGCCAGTCGAAGTCTGGTGTTTCGCGTGGACGAAACCGGTGGCATGGTCCACGAACAGGGTCCCGCCAACATATTGCTTGGAAGTCTTCTCCTCGCCAAAAGTATGCGCAAGTCGACCAGGGACAGCCGAGAGATATTGGTCAATCGAGACCTTGTCGCCTGGCTTGAGGTTATCGACCATCATTTCCTTTTCTTTTCGTTGTTTGCCCGTCTTCGAGCCAGGTTGTTGTTGAGCAGCATCGGATCGTGGACTGCGGCGACGCTGTTTCGCAAGTTGACAGACAGCACACTTGGGACTTTTGCAAGACTTGAACTCGTCTTTCTTGGCAGGTAAAGGTCCCATCACTGGATGTCCCTCCGTCTTGGTCCACTTGCAGAGTTTCAGAAGCCAGTTCATATTCGCGTGACCTGTCTTCGCATGCCAGAGAAGCAACTTCTTCTCAGCCTTGGTAAGATTCGCATTGTTTTCATGAGCAACGTTCAGAAAAACGCTCATGTCTTCCGGCAAAAATTCTTCTTCTTCGTCGGTGATAATATGTGCAGCCTCGTCTACAAGACGATTCGCCGTAAGCATCATGGGCAGGTTGTTGCCCGCTTGGTACGGAAAGAACAGGGTGTCGCCATCAGGCAACGTCATCTTGACTTGAAAACTATCGAAACAGACCTCACCCTTGCCGTGCTCTTGAAAGTAGGACTGCGGCGAGAGCAATCTGATGTTGGTGTCTGGAACGTAGTAAGCACTGACGCGAATCGACTTGATGGTCCCATGCATATCTCTGATCTTCCATTCCACCTCTCCAATACCCAGCACAGGAGTTATGGAGGACAAACCATTCAGACTTTTTGTCCCACAAGCAATCGGCTTGGTGACAAAATCTTCTAGATTCGGAGTCAGAGAGAAAGATGCTCCGGTATCGATGACGATTGGTAGTTCGCCCTTGGAATCAACATTGATGTAGACGCTGCGAAGTCGATCAGCACAGGACACATCGGACACGAGGTCGTCTGCTGCAATAAGTGCTTGAGTGACTCTTGGCAGGGATGAAACGGGTTGAAGGAATGTCGAACTGAGGACATCCTTCATTGCGTGATGCTTGGTATTAGGACGAAAATCCGCAAGAAGCTCGTCGAGAACAACCCCATACTGCGATTCGTACTGGAGGTAAGAGTGGTGCAAATATCGGTTCTTGGTCCGCTCGTAGTCTTCTAACAACTCCTCATCGCTTGGACTTTCCCAGTGACTAGGTTGCTTGACGTCGTAATCTCCCCAGAAATCCTCTTCCTTGAGACTCTTCAGCTCCCTCTGGAGAACATCTTGCTCCTTAGGGCTCTTGGCGCGAACTAACTTCTTCAGTAAACGAAACCTTGTTTTCTTTCGACCCTGTGCAGCACCCTTTCGGCGCCGTTCAGGACGTCGGCTCTCATAATCTTCCTTGCGGCGCCTCTCTTGGCGCTTCCTTTCCTGCTTCTGCTCTCGAACCCCTTCCTTCCGTTGTCGCCGGAGTATTTTCCTAGGATCTCCTTTGACGCGCGCGATACGAAGTCTCAGATGGTACTGACGCGGGTAACGATATCGACGAATGCCGCACCACCACGGGTACGCTGACGGCAGTTCCACAGTGATCTTCCTACGCGGCTTTTCAACTGATGGCAACTCCACATACATTCTTCTTGGTTGATGTACATTGACATATGCCTCTCCATGGGCAAAAAGTACTCCAGATGGGCGACACCCTACTCTGGGCATGGACGGTGGTGCCACGAGGGCATAAAGTACTCCAGAGGGGCGCAAACCCCATCTGGGTATAGACTGTTTCCATGACTGACATTTCCGTTTCAAATGTTGATCAGGTTGGATGTATTCATCGTCGAGGCCTCGGAACAGAACAGAATCGTTCCGATACTTCAGACTTGAGTACAGGTACCAGATCACTGCAGCATAAAGGCCAAGCTGCAGTATGCATGCCCACTCACACAAAGTCGTCTCCGCGACAGACTTGTAGGCGGACCAAATATCGAGAGTCAGGCCTTGACTCTCAGGGACGTAGTGCAGATGACACAAGCCAGACATCGCTGTCTTGTATCCAACTGATAGTAGCTCGTTAAACATAGTACAAAAGAGTAACACAACTCCGAGCATTGCAAAGGGTGGCATGAGGGACCAAAAATATCGTTTGATCACGTCTTCCTCACGCCACCAGGACCGTCACTCTTGGCCCAGGTTCTTGTTAAAGTTACGGATTGCCCTGTCAACGGCATTCTTGAGTAGACGCTCTTGCAACATGACTTCTTCGTTGGTAGCATCTCCGACCTTGACCTTGGAGAACTCTTCAGAGAAATATCCACTCATTCCCGCGAATAGACCGTTCCCGTTCCAAACACCGTTTGATTGCGCGAGGTGCGCACTGGGGCCGGTATTTGGCGACGGTTCGTCTTCTCCAGTTGTTTTCTGCTTTCTGCACTTGTACCACTTTTTGTCTTTGAAGTGATAGAAATGCAAGGTTCCATTGATTTCTTGTTCCTTGGGATCATCTCCCTTTGGAGCTGGAGGCCATTTGCTCTTTCCGGTCTTGTTGGTCTTGTCTCCCTTCTCTGAGCCCTTGGAAACTTGATCGCCCTTCTTCCCAGATTCCTTTGAGGCTTTCTTCGCTGCCTTGGCTGCATCGAAAGCAGCTTTGGCCTTCTTCCCTTCGGGATTTGCTTCCAGATTGTGACGAGGACAAGTGGCATTGCTCTGGCGACAGCTATCGCGTCCACACCCGAAGCACTTGGATCCTGATTTCCCTTTGGGTGGACTGATGTCGGCGGTGAAGGCAGCCGCTCGTGTTCCCTCCGTCTCCCATTGATTTAAAAGATTGAGCCTGTCATAGAACTTGCGGGCTTGGATTAAGATGGTTTCAGGCGTGCCGTATGCTGCTTCGCCTTCGACGTTCTCGAGAAGACACCTCTGGTTCCCAAGCTTAAGTTCGCCTTGGAACAAATCGTCGAAGTCACCGTTTCCTGTGTTGCTGAATACCCTCAAAAGACGCTCTGACAAGCCCTTGGGCATGTGGCGCTCGCCAACAATTTCCCCTTTGGCATTGTGCTTCTCATTCTTTCGCAACATAAGGATGGTAGACTCAATTTCCGTGCAGAACTTGCGGATATTGCCATCATATACCTTGGAGTACAAATTGATGCCATCACCTTCTTCGAGAGAGTCCCGAAGTGCCTTGAGTGCGTGATAGCTGCTAGCAGAGATACGATCCATAAGAACTTTGTAGATGAGTGGACCCCACCCCCAGAAGTCTTTCGAGATCCCTGCGCTCTTCAAGTCTTCCTCGATACGATCGATCATATCGCTCGTGCATTGATTCTTGAGATATGTTCCAGACCATTGAAGATCTGTTGGCATCCAAGAATTCTCACCCTGACTTTCGTCATAACCGTATCCATAGAGATATACGACTGAGTCGAAGACTTCTTCCAAGGTAAGAGTTGCATAACCTGACAAAAGATTTGCCGCTCGATTCTCAAGCTTGCTTTGTTCAAATTCCCCGTTCCTGTTCTTGATGGGAAATACTGTGTTGACAAAGAACCAATCGATCCCAAACTTCGTGAGATGCTCCGTGATGTGGTTCTCAACTTTTATTACATCGTGGACTTCACTTGCTGTCTTGGCATAAGGTATGTCCTCGATTTGCTGGTTGCGACTATCGGCTGATGTTCCGCTAGCGTCTTTTTCCAACTGATGATACGCTTTCGGATTTGCTGTTCTCAACAGTTCTCGTTCCTCCTTTGGACAGATCACAGTTGACTTGATTAGATTGATCTGAAGCTTTGGCTTGGCTGAGAAGGTCACACCGCCAATAATATCCTTCGGTGGTGGTGGAGGAGTTCCGCTCTGTTGCGATTTCTGAGAAACACTCGCTGCAGGAGTATTCGGAGGTATGTTGAACTGAACATTCCTTGGAACTGGACTTCCCCGACCGTCTTCTGTTACCATATCACTAGGATTCATGCTGCTGATCACTGAATCACTGATAGGTGTCGATAGACCTTCAAATTAGTAAAAGCGTTTTTGACTTATTTGTGGACGATATTGAAACAAACTTTCAATTTCCTTGTTGACAATCACAGTAAGAAGCGTAAAAGCTTGGGCTCATAACCTGACAAAGTAGAATACTGTTAACGATGCTATAGATCCGAGACCGATATAGCCAGACAGTAAGATAAAACAGAGATTCTATCCTTTTAATGATGTGATGTGATTTTACGATCTCCACAAAAGAGTGAGAGATGGAATTCACTCAAAGAGAGAGAATTCAGACAGTAGGTCCGTCTCACGTGACACTGACGTGGTGACGTGAGATTGGACAATATGTATGTTGAAGTGCGCGTGCCAGAATGGAACACGGAATCTCAAGCGAAGATCAACGTCCTATGAGGAAGCCAAAACGGGAGGAATATATCAGCAGAATTCCACCCTAACATACTGTAATTGATAAAAGAAAATAGACGCGACTGAATTGTAGGTTACCATATTTTTTGTGCAATTCGCTTGTGATCTTGGCAAAAGTAGAGTACAATTTTCTCCATCATTGGCATACATGATGCGGTGAGAAGAATGCAGTTGGTTCCACGATCTATCAAAAGACAAGAATCTGCTTCATGCATTGCCTCTGTGGGCTTGCCTCAAAACGGCACTTCGCATAATTATCAAGGATACCGCTACAAGAAGTTTGAACTTTTCGTTTCTTTCCTCCGATCGGCACTTGGCATGAAGCAATCTATATATCTGTACCGGTACAACTTCTTGCACCTCGTTTATCTTTCAATAACCTTCGTGTACTTCCGATCAACGATAATATGGGCTTCATATCTGTGCGAGCACATTTCTTGAAAAACACCACCTTCTTCCGATCAGCAATCACAACATATATTTTATACCGCATGGAAATCTTTGGGACCAAATGTTTGAGAAGAAAAAAATGCGAAAGCGGCCTTTGATGCCACAGATTTTTAAAATAACAAAATTTCCGATACGACGCTTCGCTCGAAAAAGAACAGATCATGCTTCGCCCAACTTGGGAAATTTGGAGCGTTTGCACAACCAAACAAAAAATATCATCAACATAATATTATATCAATATCATCTCGTAAAGGAAGCACAATGCAAAACACTCCAGCAGCCTCCTTTTGTTCTCTTGATGCAGATTTGCGCATCCCAAGCAATGCCAACGACGAAGCGCTTGACAGGTTTTTCTCGTCGTTTCTTCCCCAAACAGCAGCATTGACTTCGTCTCTTGCACTTAGCAGCACTGCTGCTCCGACCAACAGCGATCTGGTAGCTATCCTTGATGAGGCTTTGGAAATCACCCAAAGTACATTGGACGAAATGAATACTCACTTTCGACTCGATCAACAAGACGCTGTTCCAAGCCAGTAAATAGTATGATATCAAGAAGAAGTTGCCGACCACCACCAAGCAGTCTTTCAAGAACTGGCTGCCTTATTATCACTTTCAAGAAAACTGATATGGGACAGGCGGATACAACAGAACAAGAAGTATTTCATCAAGAGAACGGCGTATAATGTGGTGTACGGACACCACTCTGCTATCACCGCACTATACTATACTTTGATACTATTCTTGTACTTTAAAAAGCGATAAGAATATTGTACTTTTGTGAAACCCACTCAGTCTGTCCTCACTATATAGTAGTTTGACAATAGCATCACCGTCGTCTCTTTGGATTCGTTCATTATTGATCTACTATCTATCAGCGGACAAGAATCAATCATTTTGCCATTATTCTTGCTTCGGGTTCAGAACTGGAGATACATTACCATGTTCTTTCGTTTCTCATCTCGACTCCTTTTTCCGGGAAGCAGGTACCCGTGTGACGTGTAGTGTACAGAACTCTGGTACCTACTCGTACCTACTTCGAAACTTGGAGCTGAGCCAATCTAACTCTTGGATGAGCCAATGGCAAAACCATGGAGGTACAGTAGTAGCTTTTACTTCCGTCCACACCACCACCGCCGCCAGGAGAGTAATACCAGGTACTGGTAGTATCACAGGTACCAGCAGGTACCAGTATCGTTATATCGTACGAGACGGGAGTACTGTAGCTCTTCCGTCATAGAAGTTTTGAGCGTTTGTCATCATTGAAAAATAGGCACCCCTTCGCGATAGAAAGAATGGCGAACACGTTCCTTCACTAATAGATTGTGTTGCCTAAGCGAACGATTTCGGAATGTTCGCGGCGCATTGTGGCTGTTTCTGGTTTGAAACAATAAACTTCGTTAATCAAATGAGTTCTGTTCGTATCAAACATTTGAACACCACTGACCAGCGTATCAAAAGTGCGTCGATAAGATACCGGTACAGAATAGCCTCTACTATAAAAAATCGTCCATTGAAATTGGAATTAGAAGCTTGCTCCCGCATCTAAATTCTACAAACTTCTGAATTGGATGACTTTTGGCCCATATGCTCATAATATCAACATACACACACTCAACCACACAAAATACTAACAGCACATACAATGCCAAACACCGACTCAAACTACTCTTGCTCCGCCTTGCCTGTGCATCAGCAGTCACTGAGCAACCAAAGAAGTGCTCCGATGAACGACGAATCGCTCCTCAGGTTCTTGTCGCCTTTTCCTCCTCCACCGCCACTGCCACCCGTAACCATGCCCTTGGATGGTAGAACCAGTGAAACGGGCACGAAAGACCTAATAGCTATCCTTGACGAAGTTTTGGAACTCATCTACTTCGAGGATGCAACGAGCGAGCTGAATGACCCATGCTTTCGTCTTCCACTCGACCCACAGTAGACTGTTGGTGCAAGGAAATGAACGATACATCACGACACATCACGAAGTATGTCGCTTACGACCAAGAAGTATGTTGCCAAGAAGCAACCTCCAACTTTCTCGTCAAGGAAAGCTGATTTTTAATCCATTTGGCCGTGTGTGAAACAGAAGAACAAGTAGCACTATAAACATTTCATTAAAATAGATACAAGACATTAATAACAAGAATACGCCATGTCCCCTACTATTGCATTTTCCCTGAGCTAGGACTAGTAGTCTGCGTGACATTTGATTTGTTCAAAAGAATTAGCCAGCATCCTTGTTGCAGCGAAAGGCAGGCTCATTTCTTTCATCATTGGCGAGGGATTGGTAACATGGACTGTTCTTGAGCGCGCTTTGAGGGGTTGGCGGTTTGGTTGCGGTGTCTTCTATCCTTCCACCAGGCTGCTTGGTATGGTACTATCCTATCATATAATTCTTAGGGTACAGTAATAGCTTTTAATTTCGTCACGACGAACTAGAGTAAAGGATAGGGATAGTACAGTATGGTACCGGCACATACCGTACAAGTAGTGTACACGTACCAGATACAGCAGCTCGACGTCATTCAAACGAAGTTTTGGTACCAGCAATGAGGCTTTTATAGAAATGAAACGTGGCGAACACAGTCCTTCGTTAATAAAATGTGGAACGCTTCTCATATGTGCATCTGCTCTCATACAACAGTGAGCACTTTGCGGCTTTCTGGTCAGAAACTTTGTTCCGCATTCTCAAATATTTGAACATGTATTTTCGACATATAGACACGGTGTATAAAAAGCACGTCGATAAGTACGGAAGAGACTCCACTTTAAAAAGCACTCCCTCAAATCGGTCGGTACGGAAGCTTGATCCCGAGTGTACAAACTTCTGAACTGCAGATGACTTTTAGCTCGTCATGGCTCATAAAATCAAAACGCAAACACACACACACAAG